ATATTGCAACCACATACTGGGATTTGAAATGAATTACATTTAGCGGTTGAGGAAAAAGCCATGGATGCATGTGTAGATGAAGAAGAATGTATCAGATATCACTTTTAGATGAAGAAGATGAAGAGAGAGGGCACAAGTTACAAAATAAAAGTTATTGTGTATTTCATCCCTCTTTTTAATAACCCACATGTTGCATTTTCACGGGTAATATTACGTGTCACGATAAAAATTTAAAAACAAAAGTCACTTCAGCATCGTCAACCACATATGTTTTTTTAACAGATTTTTAACGTTAGGAATTAATAACAACAACAAAAAAAAGTTAAATATAAGGATTTCAACAAAAAAATTTAAAAACCAAAACAAAAAACTTTTCTCTAAGAGTATGTTTTTTAAACTTACTCCACATCATAACTTTTAAATTGAATCTAATCTAGTAATTAAATTAACATTTTTACTTATAATTATTCGATTAAATCTAATCTAAAGATTATGATTATAGAATAAGTTATAAAAACTTAATCTTAAATTAAGTTGAATAACATGAATTCCATGTGTGAAAATGCCCATCTTATAGACTAGTATTTAATAAAATAGAATAACATAAATTCCATTTAATAAAATACTAAAATAAATAATAAAAAGAGAATTGGAGTGAGTATATTAGAGTAATAGAATGGTCCAACAAAAAAAGAGAGTTTATCATTTAACATATCTTGAAATTATTGAGTTATTTTTTCTTTTTCTTTTCCTTTTTGGTTCAGTAAATAGATTCATAGATGCACGATTGCAATGTTGTTATGTAACGTCGCTTTCATTTGTTTCAGAGCATTACATTTTAAGAAAATTCACTCTCATATTTACTTTTTACACTTGTTATAATTGGTATGAGAGTTTTTTTTTTTTAAATATTATAAAATATAATATTTATTTAGTTAATATGTGGAAATATGTTAAAGCATATTGTTATGTGTTTATACAATAAAATAATGCACACTTAAGGATTGAATATACAATTTTTAACATATTAACATGTGATTGTAAAACTTTTGGTAACATTTTCTTTTTTGATATTTATTAATGATGATAAATATGTATTAGATATTTTTATATTTATTAATTCGCAATAACTTAAATTCAAATTATTTTTTTTAACCTACACTGATTTTAAACAACATTATATGCTATTAGTGTCCAAACGGGCATAGATTTTTTATTGCGGTAACGCGTGATAATATTAACTAACGTATTTCTTTTATAAATTTGATTTTAATATAAATTATTTATATTGATTTTAATATAAATTATGCATATGATAAAAAAATTTGTATTTATTCAGATACATATTAAGTTTTGTTTACAATATTAATATTCACGCATTAAATTTTATTTGAATTGAGAAAATTGTATTGCGACGTGACTTTATTTAACTAGTTTTTTCAAACGACTAAATAATGTGAGTGGAATAATTTGGTGGTTACGATAGGTTACACCAAAATTAAGTTGTGTATTTATATATTGCTATAGATTATTCAAAACTATAAGAAGATTTAGTTAGAATAAGAACAAAAATTTTTCTCAAAGGTTATTAAGCAAATAAACATAATCATTAACATAAATATTAAGTTATATTGTTGCTTAATAGGAAGGTCAACCATGAAATCAAAATAAAAAATATCTCTCGTTTCACTGTAAAATAAATGAAGCAAATTTTAGTAATCAACGATATAGTGTAATCTAGTAAGTGCATGCCTAGTGTGACATTGCAAAAATATAGTTGAATGATTAAATATAATAGATAAATATTTGAGTTTGTGACAATAAAATTTCTTTAAAAAAAATTTTTTTTGTAAAGTTCCCTACTTTTCCATCCACTCTTCTGTCTTTAATTAACACTTTTATTGCAATATGCGAAACACCTTTTGATAAAGCAAACATACAATTGTTTGTGATTGAAAAGTTGTAAATTTTTTACGGAGAGTGAAAATATAAAAATAAAAAAATTGTATAAATTAGATAGTAAACAAATAGATAGAAAAATTAGTAATTGAAAAGAAGAATGGAAAGTATAAGTTTAGATAAGATCCATGTGAAATTCAAAGAGGATAACGAACAAAAGTTGAAAATAAAAAGAAAGTGATATACAAATTTGAAAAGAAAGTAATAAAAAAAATTAAAAGAAAGAGAAAAATAAAGAACAAAAAAGCTAGAGAGAGAAGAGAAGTGAAAAGAAAAACAGGATAAAAATAAAAAATGAAAAGGTATAATATAAAATTACTAATTTATCTTTAAAAAATTGATTATATTTATTCAAATAAATAATATAAATGTAACTATATTAAATTTGTAATATAATAAAATAAATTCTCTTTTGTCTTAACTCTCTAATTCTGCACACACACAAAAAAGCTGATAACTTAGAGTTTCGTAAATAGTAAAGTTTTGTCTATGAAATGATTTTTATTATAATTTGATTTCAGATGATTTTAGTAAAATTAATTTTGATATCTAATATAAATTATGAGAAAAATAAATCTAATAAAAAAATAATAAATTAGACATTTTTTTCAAAAACAAAAGTTTATATTTTTCCCCCTCTCAATATACATTTATTATCTTTGTTCGAAAAATAATTGTTTAAATATAAATTTGTGACACCTCTAGTCCTTAATGTATGTTTCATTATATATTATAATAAAAAATTTAACATTGCTAAGAAAAAAAACCAAAGTAGGCTAAGAAAGTACACAACTTTTTTCTAACATTGTAAAAAAAAAAGCTAAGAATTTTTTTTTTGTTGACATTCTCAACAAATAATAAAAGAGAAAAAGAAAATAAAAGAAAATGGAAGAGAAGACTGAATTTGTGAAACACAGAATCAACCAGGGATATGGAGAAAGAGATGGAAAAAGTAGTGAGTGTCATAAAATTATTTATTAAATTAATATGTTTTATTTAATCTCCATGATCTTTATTGTAAGAAGACAAATAAAAATAAAGCATCAAAATCAATAAAGTTAGTGATTGTTGTAACTTTTGGAAGGGTGTAGTAGTGAGGAGCTGATTTGGTTTTAAAGCCAATACTCATGAAAGCAAACAAGGGACAAATACACAAGTGAAAAAAAAAAGGTATAAGCACTTTTGAGGAATCACATGCAGAGCACATGTGAATGTGATTGTTCATTTTCAGCACTTAAATTATTACTATCTCCCTCACTCTACACAGTCCACAGTCCACACCACCATGCATCATGCATGCAATGTGACTGTGGTGGATTAACAAAATTAAATGAACTGTCAACTCATTCAGTCAGCACTGAAATTAAAATATACTAGTATTGATTCTACATAAAATTTAGTCCATTCAACAATACTGATATTGTAAGACTGAACACCTTATATTAGATTCCATTCTAAGAGTTTTTTATATGTATGTTTTTGATATTTATACTTATTATTATTTCGTCTATCAATGAAAGAAAATATAATATTAATTGGATAAAAAAGGAATACAAAAATTGATATTTTATTGACCAGCTAAAAAAAGAACAAAGAGTGAAGTAATAATGGCAAACAAGCATGTCTGTTGTTTAGATCTATCAAAAAAAATGGGACATGACGGATATAGTTAAGAGTGTAAATTTAAAATTTTTGACTGTTCAAAAAACTAAAAAATAGGGTGAGGTAGACATGCGGGACTTGGTTAAAAATTGTAAAAAAATATTGTTAATGCTTGCGTTGGCAAAAACTTTTGAAAAACAGGGCGGGACAAACATATTAGAAAGTCTGTGTTTAAAATAATGACTCCCACTTCTGGAGAGAAGCATTTAAACAAAATATATGGCGCTTGTTAGAAGTAATGTTATGTTACTGAGGCTTGGACTTTGATTGTTTGAGTTTAGGGTGGGGCCTAGAAAATGAATTGTTCCAACTTCAAAAGTAGTGGTAGACCTTTCATAGGATTGTGCTTTGATGGGCTTCATGATTGGGGTCTCATAACAGCATTTGAAGAGCTTCATGATTGGGGTCTCATAACAGTATTCAGAAGCGGTTATCAACTTGGACCCAAAAACAAATATAATAAACCATATATTTGAATTGTATTAACCATTTAACTTAAGGATATGTTTGGACTGATGGAATGGTATGTATAAATTTTATGTTATTTATGGGTCTATATCCTCTACAAAGAATAGACCATTAAGCAGAAATAAGTTCAACCTTCAACAGGATAACTCGAGCCTGAGGACAGTAAGCACATCGGTAATCTCTACCAAAATAGTTTGATGTTCTACTTATATGCAAGTCAGGAAAGTATATGAATGGGTAAGATTTTTAGTTGCATTTTGTTAGTAATAGACAGTTTATTTTATTATTATTTGTTATTATTAAATGTTTTGTATGCAATAACTGTTATGGACAATCTCAATACCAGTTTATATCACATTCTTACCATTTATGAACAAAACTAAAGTCCATTTATAGGGACAATAAGGCATATTATTGACTCCTAAGTTTGATTATATATTGTGTGTTACAATACAATGTGAAATATATAAAATACCTTTACATACTGCAAAACACTCTACTTGAACATGTGTTCTCTGGTGGAAGAACAAACCTTGAAGCAAGAGAGACAAAAAAATCTGAAAAAATTATGGACAATGGTTCTTGAATTGTAATCACTTTTTATACATGTACATCTAAATACACATTGTTTGGAATATCCGCTTCTGTTGCCCCTATGGCTATCCTGTCCTATACTATACAACATGGAAAAAAAAAAAAAACAGAAAAAAAGAGTGCCTTATCAAACCTTCCCACAAATTTCAGTTTCACAGCTTTCAACATATTACTTACACTTGCTACAAAGCTACAATATACATTTTGAAGCAGCTCCCCGTAAAAATCTTCTAAACTATGTACAAAGGCTTAATTTTCAGTACAGTCTAAAAAAAAGTTTTAAGATCTTATTCTTATCAGTGCAAGAATTGAAACATCTAATCTGAGAAGAATTCTTGCACTTCAACTTGGTCTGTTCCCGTTTGAAGAGGAATTGAATCAGTTTTAGTTTCTTTAAGCTGAACCTGATTTTTATAATTGTCCAAATCATAATCTAATTCAGACCACTCCCGATCTTCCTCGGAAGGCTGCTCTTCTGTCCTGTTTTCTACCTTAATCGGTCCAAACCCCTCAATTTTTACCGGTGACCCTGATTTTTGACATATGCAAGATGTTGGATTCTCATGAAACTCACCACTGCCTGGCCTCAACTCATTAGGCTCTCCCATGAACCCTACCTGGAATTTTCGAACTCGAGGTGCAAATTCTTCCCATGTCATGTTATGTTTGTTCATGAATAAGGGGTTCAACTTTTTTCCATTTGGACGGATGGTAGGTTTATGACCAAAGTACCTCCTGCAACAGAGGATGTATGAATATCAATATGACTAGAAATTTTACTCTCCAAATAGAAACGAACTAGTTAGAATAAATTAAGCACATGACACTGGCTCGAAGAATCTCACTCCCTAATAAACTAGTTTACCTTCTTCCAGCTAAAATTTTAGCCATGTTCCCATTGTTGTTTGTGACGAAAACATCGCTCTTGTCGCAAACTATGTAATCAAGTGCAGCCATGCGAGAAGAGAATGAAACAAATGGTGTCAACTCTTCCTTGGTAGCTAAGGTCTCCTTTGAATGGAAGTTAGGGAATAGAGCTCGGAGGGGTGCTAATGTTTCCTCACCTCCATATATTTCTCCAGAAGCCACATACATATGAGTGTCAATTCCAAAACCTAGTGCTCTAAGCATAAGACCAACTTCCTCTGGGGTAAGTGGGCACCTTCCATGCCTTCTTTCTTTCTCAGGATTACTTGCCTGTCAGTCACATTAATTAGCAAATAGTAAGAATATGCCGATTTTCATAAAGTTAAAAAAAAATATCTTGGCTGTTAAATTGCCAATAAACCTTACATGTAAATTTTTCCACCGCTTCCTAATTACACCAAGTTCTGATCTTTCTTTATCTCCCCCACCATAATAGCAGCCAGAGAATGCAAGCATATCTGGTTCAAACCTATACATATGACAAAGAACAACCACTTTGGATCAACAAGTTATCACATTGAACTTCGCAAAGAAAAATAAATTCCAAATTGTCCCAGAACCACTTGTCTCAATTACAAAAATGATAAGCTAATCACGTATTGAGCAAAGGCATACACATAGCAAAGGAACCAGGGACAAATATTTAGCTATAATTACTAAATCATACCTTAAATGTAGAGCAATGAAATGCTCGCTTTTCATTCCCATCCGCTCAACTAACAAATTTCCCATTCCCTGAATGGAATCCGTAAATTTGAGAGCATGGTAGTTTACCCTGCACCTCAGCTTTTGCAGATCATCATCCAACATATTGGAAAGTCTATAGTCAAACTTCGTGAGCCGAACAGCCTGCATAATGCAATTTAAACTCATTTAGTATGGAATACTTGCTACAATAACTAGTAATGTATGTGAGAATTAGTTTAATTTTTGAAAAATGGGGAGGAACTAGTAGGATAACTAACTGGTATGTTGGACACCTAACATAAATTGAAAATTTGTAACCTGTCTATTATTGGCATTTTTCTCAGTTTCCAAATTTCCAATTTTAGCCTGGAACCACAAACTTTATTAATCTAATTGAAGGATACCTGCAAATAATTTCACAAAAGGTTCCAATTAATGACTTTTTAATTAAAGACTTACACGTTTCTTGATCAGCACGGGTAAAACACGGTCCTCATAACATTTAGGGGTGCATTTCCTTGGAACACGCACTGTATATGGGGCCACAAATTTCTCTCCCATAAGTGGAAGTTGTTTTATAACTCTTATATCATTCCGGAGGAATTTTATAAACCAATCAGTATCAAATAGCTCAGAAAAATTACTGCAAAAAAAGTCATATATTACTTAGAAAAATGTATGATTTAAGAAAAATTGCTGCAAAAAAGCAATCATATATTCATGTGTGATTTAAAAGACATCCTGATATGATATGATAGAAGTAAAATGTAAAGACAAACCTGTTGTCTTTCCAGAAAGATGCATGATCCAACTCCGGAACAACAAGAGTAGCATTCAAAATATAGGCAGCCACAACCGCATCAATTATCTGCAGCCACATAATATATCATTCAAATTGGTATCACCAATCATTCATCAAATTTGATCGCGAAAATTCTAATAGAGTCTGTCAGCAGAACGGCACACAAAAAATCGGTATATCAAATTACCAATTTTTCTATTCAAACTCTCATGCCAAACCATAATTATTGAGTTTTTGTTAGAGACATTTCAACCCTTACTTGTTTCGTAAATTACACGAAGTATGTTTATGGTACAATAAAGTTAAAGTATATTATATATTTCAGGTGGCAGCATATAATGGAAAAACAACTTGTTTATAACACTTTGAGTGTATGTGCAATTATGTTTACTAATGGAGAAAAACTGAAAGAACTATTCATGCTTAAAAAAAAACTGATTATATGCAGAAAGAGGTATATATTCTTATTTCAATTAGTAAGCTAACCTCACTGAACTTCTATATACTTGATCAAAGGAATTGCATAAACAAACCAATACCACACAGTTCATTAAGAAAGAAGCTTAGCTTACCCCTGTTCTTTGTTGATTTAAGCCTCCACTGGTTACAATTAACACATATCGATCCGGATGAGTTTTGCTATTGGTTTCTGCAAGAATTAGAAGTATAAATTAATATACTCAATCAAATTGCACATCGATCTAAAACAACTCAATATAGGAATCCAGGTTTTAAAAAACCATCATCGACCGCGAAAACCGCCGTGACAAAACATTTGCTAGATTCGTTATTTACCATTTTTATGTTAAATAATAAATTGTGATTAATTACCGCGACGATCGCAATTAGTGTCACAACACCTCTAACCACCAAAATGTGTCTGTTTTTCAAGACCTTACAATTTGAAGTCCAAAATTAAATTCATGAAAGAATTAAAAAGGACTAGAATGAACTTTACTTGCGAAGTTGAAGCCGGCATTACTACAGCCAACGAAAAGCTGCGAGTTCGTCGAATTCCACAAATCATGCCTGTAACTATCTCCACTGGCCTTCAAAATTCAACGAACAAAAAGGAAGAAATTAATTAAAATAAAAATAAAAAAAGCAGAAAGAAACTGAGAATCGCGTTTGATTGAATAATAGATTACCGGAACGTAAAACTCCGATTGATGATTCAAAATAAAACGAGACCTAACCAGGTTATTCTCCTAAAACAGAAACACAATCAAAGTCACACACAGCACAATACAACACATAGAACGTAGTTGAAGTTAAAAGGTGAAGCGCATTTACCATAGCAGAAGAAGGAGCGAAGAGAGAGAGCATTGAAAACAACAAAAGAACGCAAACGGAGATAGCCGAAATGAGAAGACGGTGAATGAGCCGACGGCGAAGGACGCCGGTGAGAAAAACTCCGATGACTCTGGACTTTTCCGTACACGTGTGATTCTTCTTTCTCTTGAATGTAGCTATATGCATTTTCGTTTATGAATTTTACAGAGTAATAACTGTTACTGCGTTTCGTTTCGTTTCTTTTTGTGTATTATTATGAATTTAATGATTGAATTTGCAATTGCAACTACAGCAAATACAGTTACGAATATGAAGAAGATGAAGAAAATGAAGAAGAATGCGATGATGATGATGATGAAATTGTATAGTTGTAATTTCCATTTGGAAAATGTGAAGTTTGCGTGTAAAATATGAAGCAGAGGGTTTTAGTTACGAAGAAGACTTTTGAACAGAAAGAAAAACGAACGTAACCGTAATTAGGCTGAGGTGTTAAAGGTAGATGATGAAGTAATAAAAGCAGAGTCGTTTTGGGCCGTTGATTTCGAATTGATCAAAAATTATGTTAGTCCTCGGTCCTTATCTAATCTCTGTCAATCATGAATCAGCAACATCTTACTTCTGTTTTAACTTCTAATAACAGGTAAACTAATCATGCCTCTAACTACATTACTTATAGCACTATCTATTAGGAATGGATCCACCTCTATATAATATATTTTAAGCGCTATAGGATACATAAATTAATTAATTAATATTCAATTTGATAAGATTGGTTCTTCTTTTAAATTTTTTGTTTAACGAATATTTAATATTTTGAAAAACTGCTCAACCGATTTATTTTTTAATAAAAGTTGTTCCATCAATTTTAGACACTACTTATAAATTATAATGTTTAATCCCTATACATTTTTTTAAAGATAATCTAGTAATAGTTATATCACACAACTAACAAAAAAAATTATGATAATTTAATAGATTATATGATGATGATTGATTAACAAGTAAGGTCACTGCATATCTTTTCTTCTCAAAATTTATACAAGAAAAATACGATTGATAGTTACTCTTTAAAACAAAATTAATTATCTTTAAAGTTGATCTCTTAAAACTATATTAATGAAAAAAAATTATAGTTAAAAAAATAAAAACTGTGCTCATGAGTATTACTATGTATAAATTTTTGCATTTTATATAAAAACTTTACATGTTAAGAATCAAAAGTGTCCAAAATTAATGATATGAAACAAATTGATTGTTGGAACACTTTGATCCTTTATTTAAAATGATTTTGAAGGTTGTTTGTATTATAGTAAGATCTCTTATCCTCAGTTCAACTAGTAAAAAAGTCACTATCAAGTTTACACGTGTATATTTTTCTCCGATCTATCTGGACATCAAAATATTTACCGGAAGGTTGATTATTATTTTATTTAAAAAGTAGATAGATGAGATTATAAAAGTTTATTATAAAAAGAAAATTTTCTTGACAAAATAAAATAATACTATTCTTTTCGATCAATTTATTTTTAAATTTTTTTGACTTTTTATTTTATTTTTGTGAACACATCAAACACTTGTAATTTTATATTTATATGAAATAGATAATTAGTGTGTGTTTGGGTGCATCTATGTTGCCGTTGGACGTGCAACCAACAAATGCATGTATTTACAATCAAATATCTATCAACGCAACTGTTTCTTTAAATCTAAATATGATAATTTTTTCTTACTCTAAATATGGAGTGCTTAGCAAGTTTTGTTGGATGCTTGACTCTGACAAATTAACTAGAAGATTCTATACCTAAATTTGGAAGTCAAGGTTAGTTAGAGTATGGTTACTGTTATATATGCTTACCTTGCTTTTATAAATTCTTATTTCTCACTTTTAAACTTTTTTTACAGCTTTGATTCTTTAGACTTAATCTCTCTCTCTCTCTCTTATTCTTGAAAAACAGAAAACGTATAATACATTTTTTTCAAATTTATTATTGAACTAGAAGTTTCTATAAGACTATAAGTTAATCATATATATTGATGCAATTTAATAACTATAATTTTTTTTAACAAATTCAATTTATTTAAGTGTTATGATAAATAAGTTTACATTCAATAATTTATCCACGGATGCATTTCTCTTTAAAAAATATGAGATATCTTAAATTTAAATAATTGTATAGGGTGTAATGTATTCTTTCATTTAATTAAAAGTTACAAAAAAAAAAATTCACAATAAAAAATCTACAAATGACCAACATTGAGTCAATTTCAAATAAATAATTTTTCAAATTTAACACTAAAAACCAATAACTGATCATGACAAAAGTAACAAAGATCAACATTGAACAAAGTTAATATTGTCTTTATATTTGATACATCATCATCCATATTATACATCACTTTAAAACTCAGAATATATCACTCAAACTTAAGCTAAAATATTTTCAAATTTAACACTAAAAACCAATAAAAGCCTTTTCTTAAAAAGTTAATTTTAGTGTTGGAAGCAAAACTGTATTTGAATACAACCTTATTGTATATGAATACAGGTGACAATTTTTTAAAAATTTTAACATTGCAAGGGTTGTATTCGAATACAGATATATTATATCCAAATACAACCTGAACTAGTTTGTGTTTTCTCATAAGACAGAGTCACTATTTTAATTGACAATGTTTCATGAAATCTTTTTAAAGATATGTAATCATTCATAAAACTTTTTAAGAGTGTAAAATTGATGGTTTAACATTAAAAAATAAATTATAACTTACAAAGTAAAATTAAAAAGAGTTAATTATTACTTTTAAAGTGTTCTTCATTTTTCAAATGATTTGAAACTATTAACTTTCATAAATCAAAAAAAAAATTTTAAACTAAAATAGATTCTGAACAATTATGTGATATACTTTGAATTGTGATGTTGAGAAAATAAAATAATTTTAAAATTAAATTTACCATTCAATAGCCTACTACATTCTTCATTTCTCAACAAAGGTTGTTTAAGTCATAGAGATTTAAAAAGTGGTATACTTTTTAGATTTTGTGAGGATTATTATAGTTTTTGGTGATGGTTGAAAAGGCTGTTTAAGTCATAGAGATTTAGAGCTCACCTAAGATTTAGTATTTATATATGTGTTAGAATGTTGTAAGGAAATATTTGGTGTAACGCTTGTGGATCTAAAATAATGTGGAAATTTTTCTTAAAAAATTCAAATTTATTTTGAAATAAAGTAATTGCTTTCAATACTAAAAAGAAATTCAAAAACACCATTATACTTTAATTGTTCAAACTTATTTTAAAATAAAGTGACTGTTTTATATATTATGTATAAAAAATTATCAAGTTTAAATGATTTCTGAGTAGATTTAACAACTTTATTATTGATATTTTTATCAAATAATTTTTTTTTTTTAGGAGTTTAAAGAAATATTTACACATTGTACTATAATAAATATTTGCTCTTGATGACTTATATTAGGAGTACAATCATTTCAAAACTATTTTACTTTTATTGTTTTGCATAAGAGAAAGTATGCCAATTTTTTAAAAGAAAATTTCTTTCATTATTATAATAGTCAATTTTTTAAATAACATTTGGTTCAGAATTTTTTTCAAACACCACTCTAACAAAAAATTTGACGAGAGATATAGATATAAATATGGGAACAATATACCCGAAACATATATCGTAAGTGTTGTCCAAATTTTTGACAAAAAAGATACGCAAACTTGTCTAATTTTAAGAAACCAAATCTAAAAATAAATAAGAAAATGATTTAAACGATAACCAACTATTACCATAACTTATAAATAAGAATAATTATGCCAACATTTATTAATTGGTATACACTTTCGTTTTTGGTTTCAAAGAATATACAACAATATGAGTTTTTGAGGAAGATGAAAGAACATATATTAAAATTCAGAAAACCTTCTTTAGTAATTGATTTTTTCGTCACTAAATCGATCATAAAAGTTGAATGTTACATGTCATTCATCATGTCAGTAAAAACTATTGATGAAAAAGTATAAAGTGTTTAATTTTAGAGCTAAGGGATCACAATGGTCTTTTTAAAAGTCAATAATCAAACTAGACACGAGTCAAAGATAAGAGATGAAAATTGGTATTTCACGTAATTTTTATTATAAAAAAAGTTGGTTATTTTTTGGTAGAAACCGAGTATCCTCTGCGTGCAACTGCAGAGACTAATCCATCGAGTCGGATAAAATCTCAATGAGTGACAAAACTCTCCCTCAAGAGAATTTAACACTGTTGCGTGCCTAGGGCCGGGTTCAAACCCATAACTTTTTGTTAAGCTGGAAGAGAACCCTTACCATTTTATCCAAGTGTTCTTTTTAAAAGTGGCATTTTTTTAAAAAACTAATATTATAAATTATTGTGATGTGTGTAATTTTATAAAAATACATATTGAATGCGGGATGTAAAATTATTTTACATTGATAGTGCATCTCTAGTTAAGTTGACATATCAGTATAACAATAAGTCTTTAGTCTGAGCTTCTTGTTTGAATTGTGATGGCACTACTTATGAGTGTGTTTGTAGCTTAATAATTTTATGTCCCCAACATGGCTACAAATGTGAGACCGTCGATAAAAGCTTCATATTCAGCCTGGTTGTTAGTAGTGGGGAGCTCAAAACGCCTGGATACTTCAATCAGCAAATCAACTTCGTTTTCTAACAAGAGAATGACGCCACTCCCTATATTATTGGATGACATGTCTCTCAACACGGTCTAGGTATGAATTGACTCGATCACACTTGAGATCATTTCTTTTTTAAAGTCTGCAAACAAACAGGCCTTCATCGTTTTCCTATGCTAGCTCAAAAGAGACATCAAATTCAAACATCTCAATATACCATTTGGTCAACCATCATACCAGATCTAACTTGTGGAGAACTTGTTTTAGAGGCATATTAATGCTCAATGATAGAGTATTGAAACATCTCAGTATATTATTTGATCAACCGTCCTACCAGATCCGAGTTGTGGAGAATTTGTTTCAAAGGCATATCAATGCAGACAATGATAAAGTATGTCGCAAGAAGTAATGTCACAACTTCTTAGAGGCAACCATTAAGGTTAATGCTCATTTTTAGGGGTGTTCACAGGTAAGTTTGGTTCGGTTTCGAGAAAATATGATGCTCAAACTGATCAAAAATATATG